GTAGACGTGCCTGCTCGCAAGAATCCTGCAGAACTTTGCAACCGGTATACCCGGGTCTTGAGTTGCAGCCGGGTGAAGCGTCAAGGAGACAGCCCATGCTTCATGCTGTTTCTCATGTTGCGAGAGCCTGAAAAGTCGGCGGTGATCGCATCGTTGAGTTGTCAATGGGCCGAAGAAGATGTTCAGGAAGACCTAATGCTTTGGCAAGCATCGGCCAGACAGGGCGGATATAGTGTTTCAAAGCATGGTGAAAAGGCGTGTCTGTGTGTTCTCGCCGAACACTTGTCGGAAGAGCGATGACAGCAACTTGAGCAAAGGGCCGAAGGCCTGTCTCCTCGCGTTGTCAAACTTGGCAGAGACGTAGTAGCCCCGCTTCCTGGCTTCCGAAAAGACAGACTGGAAGAGAAAGCTCTTGCCCAGGCCGGCAACACCTTCGATGGTAATGATCTCGCAGTGTCCGCGGCGTCTAAATTTGGCCGATCCGAGTTGGCGGGACAAGCTCGACGCTGTAGATTCGGCCACGCTTTGCCGGTTCATATCACTGGTTCCCATGCTGTCCGCCAAGCTTCGCGTCTCGACAGAGATGGAGGAGTTGCGTTCCCATGGTCTTGCCATTCGCGCCAGAGGACCAGAGTTGGTCGAGGCAACCGTCTCGCCCGAGATGGTCTGGCTGTCGGAGAGCACCGACGGCACAAAACTAGCCCTGACCTGCCTAGGGTCTGAGGAGGTAGTTTGGGTGAAGGATCCGCTGCGGCGGGCCGTGCCATCGGCGGAACTGGCTCCCTCGCTCGAGGCGTCGGCCGTGTCCAAAACGTCGTTGGAGAGGTTGGAACCGTCTGAAAATCTATTGCTGGCGACCTTTTGGCTCATGGCGTGGCTCTTGGCAGATCGGTCGATGACCTTGAGCAGTTCGTTCCTCTCTTTGGATCGCCCGATCATCATGGTCGGGAGGATGAAGAAGGAGGAGATATCCTTCTCGCCAATGGTCCACTTTTCGAGGGCCAGCCAGTCCCCCTTTTCCAGAAACTCCTGGACCTTGACGAGATCGTGACGTAGACCGCTCGCCGAGTGGTAGCGATCGGCCACGCGCATGGCCGTACATTTTTCGATGATGCGGCCAATGACGGACGGAACGTCTTCCCTCACTTTCGACAGTCGGGGTATGCTTCCCTTGAGCACGGAGTGGACGATATCTAGAGGCGTATCACCATCGAAGACGGGATGTTGCGTCAGCATGGTCCACAGGACGACGCCCAAAGAGTAAATGTCTGTCCTGCTGTCGGGCTCGGCGGGCATGCGTCCTGTCTGCTCGGGACTGATATACAGCAGCTTGTTCTTCGCCCCCAGCTCCTTCGACAGGTTCGACCACGCCGAGCTCTGCAGTCGGTTCTCGAAGGACCTGGTGCCCGTACCAATGGCGGCGAGCTTGACGCGGTGCGTCTCGATATTGTAGTGAAAGGCGTCGGGCCTGATCTCGCCGTGCGTGGCGCCTTGCCATAGTGCAGTATCTCCAGGCACTGCGCGGCGCCAACGGCGAGCAGCAGAAACTCTAGCACGGCTATCGGCGGTTGAGGAGTAAAAACCTCGTTTCTGTATGCCTCCGCCGTGCTGTAAAGGCTGGCCGAGGTCTATCAAGTCGAATATGGCATTGCGTCCGGGGTGCTGGTAGATGGCCACCATGATGGACCCGCGGTCTCCGGGCTGCGGCGTCATGCGGACGAGGTCTATCGGCTTGACGATATGCTCTCCGTGGGGGTCAACGGATGTGATGAGATGCTTGGTAATGTGGAAGGTTCTCTCCTCGCGGAGGACATGGTAGGATATGCGTGCAATGACCGGTTCTTCGGGGTAGAGGGTATCGGGGTTCGACGTCGGTATGGGAGGCGATGCGGGCGAGAGCGAGGGGTCTTTGCTGGCGTCGGCCTGGGTCTCGGCGCCGATGATGCTGGGGGAGCTGTAGTGCTCAGAGGGTGAGGGGCGGCCGGACTGGAGACTCGCGGCCGACCCAGGGCTCGAGACGGGATATGTCGTGGGCGGGGAGAAGGGCGACACGAACTTGGTGCCAGCGACATGCCAGATGTCATAGGTTGTATGGAACGGCGGATGACTATCGTCCCAGGTGTAGCCGGCGATCTGGCGAAGTCGCTCGAAGAGGCGCGCCGGCGGATCATGCTGATCGTCGGGCATGATGGCGGCGTAGTCCATGCGAAGCAGAGGCCGCAGAGAGCGAGCTCGGATTGTTGTGGGATGTGCTGCTCAGCAGTCCTGGGGGCAGGCGGTCGGCTCAGGTTGGGGAGGAACAGAGCATCACCTGGAGAAGCTCGCCGGCACAGGCATCGTCGTCGGACTGATAGACGGTCTTGTGTGCGCCTGGGGGGAGGCTCAAGAACCGAAGCGGTCCGTAGAGGCGTTGATGCTACAGGCGCTTTGTTGTGTGCGAGAATGTTTTGCGCGACCAATGGCCGGATGTGGTCGGCGTCTGGGTCGGGGGGGTGGGCGATATGATCAAGAGCTAAAGCGGAGCTGGAGCCGAATCACGATTTGGGAGGTTGTTGCGTCTGTCTGGGAAGCCAGCAAGGCAGTGGAACACCTGTCAGAAATCGATGTGAGGCCAAGGAAAAAGAGGCTCTGCTAGGATGGCTCAGGACAGGCACAGGTACAATGTCTGGTCAATCACGGCGAACAGGCACCTCACTCGCCAGCAACAAACAAAACGCAGAGTTGAGAATCTTCGTGACTCCACCCTCTCCATTGACGAGGACTGACGGACTTGGCTCGCGAAGCGGGCGGGATCTTTGCCAGGCCAAGGGACACTGAACCTTGTCATTGACCGCCGACACCAGCCAGTTCTTGGGCCTTTGGGTTCTTAGGGGCCTATTGGGGCCTGGGGGGGGGGGGGCTGGATGCTGAGGTCCTTAGGTGGTCCTTAGGCGGTCCTTAGGTGCCTAGTCAGTCATCTTGAATCAGTCATTCGAAGGGGCGGCCACTCGGCGTGTGAAGTGGGGGGGGCCTCCTCGGGTAGTGCCTGACGATTGCTTTGTCCTGTTGGTTCGGCTCTGCTGCCAGATGACGACTCCTTGTCCCCCTCCTCCCCCGCCGCCTTGGAAGTGGCCCAGCAAAGACGAAGGTAATCAAACATGCTTTTCGTCGACATGGCAGCCCAGAACCAGAGCAGTCTCGTCCCTGCGATCCATACTCTGGCCCTGATCATCACCACGGCCAACTCGGCAACGCAGGCAAGGCAATGCAAGCCAGCTCAACCCCCGTCTCCTCGCGAGGTACATCTCATCTTACAGGCCAGAAAGCAGCTGTCATTCAAATGCTTGCAGGTCAACCCTGAGTCTCTGATCGGCCGGGCCTGTCCCCACATCTTCGGATCGAATTCCTTTCTGTCATCAACCCCAGTCACCCAGACGAAAGAACCACACGATGCATGTCGATCCTGTCCTGTTACTGCTGCCCAACCGAACGTTGCGGCTCCTCTCGTGCCTTGTCTACCATGCTGGCAAGGCAGGAGCAAGAGAGGAGAAAATTTCGCGGGAGTGGCATGATTAGCTTGTCGGCTTGCAGCTGGTCGCGTGTTCCAAGACGGCCTCTCCGTCCAGCCATTCTGACATCCTTCTCGAAACCTTCTTTCTCTTCACTCCCAAACACGCCCAGTCAAATGTCCTGACCTCGTACGTGTTGATAGCATAAGCGGCCTAGACCTCCACTCTCTCCGACCAATGTCCCATGCCTCGAACACACCGCAGCCTCGGCTTATTGGTTTGTCGCCTTTGCTGGGTCGCGGTCCAAGTGAGACCTGCGCATGTTCCGCAACGGAGCCGTATTCTGAGACCACCGAGTGTGGTGCATGACCTGCCCTTGCTGCCCTGCTGCGGGAACCGTGATGCAGCATCCAAGAGTACACCCGGAGGCAAAATGACAGGGAGGAACGCAGGTGAGGTTTCGCGGCAATTCTTCATCTATCTAGCAGAGTCTTGGCATCTCTATCAAACCTGACCCAACAGTAGGCCATCCGCCATGCTTTCTACAACTCCATCAACATCATGCGTGTGACACTTGTTCTTGCCTCCTGGCAAGCAAACCAATCCCATATATCCTCAAAGCATGCATCATCACGCGGGTCCCTTCCCGGTGGCCCTCGCCCATTCGAATCGTCCCTTCCACCCAGGCCCCACAGCCGCTTGCTGCTCGCGTCCCACGCCGACTCTTTCAAGTCGCGCCGCCGGCCGGGCTCACCCTGATTTGAAGTAGTCTACTGGACCTGCTTCGACGACTTGCGGCTGTGTGCGGGCTGCGAGGCCTTGGACGCGGCACGCTCCCTCGTCGGCAGCTCCTTGGCGCCGTTGGTTTGGGTAGATGTGGGCGCGACAACAAAGTTCTCCAGGCGACGCTCCGTGTTGGCGCGGCCGTTGACAAAGTCGGGGTAGTTGAGCGTCAGCTCGACGGCGCCGTTGACAATGTTGTCCGCGGCCTCCACACCGAGCATGAAGGAGTGGTCCTGGTTGCCGACCTCGTACCTCCAGCTGCCGAAACGACCGCGCGAGTAAATGTCCAGGTCCTGCAGCTTGGGCAGCAGGTCCTTAAGCACGCCCTCACGCTCGAGAGAGGGAGTGGGGTAACCGTGGTCGAAGCGACGGTGGTAGGTCGAGACGATTTCATCCTCCGCGGTGATCATCTCCGTGTTGATAAGACCCTGAATACAGTCCTTGAGGAGGTTCTCCTGGTCGACGGGCTTCATCGAAGACTCGGACACCTCCAGCATGATGGACCAGTAGGGGCCTTCCTTGGGCTCGGTCGACGCCGCCTTGGTGCCATTGGCCAGGTACAGCGTCGCGAGCTTCTCGCTGGCTTGAGGCTGGTTGTAAGGCGAGTAGTTGGAGAAGATGGTGGCGCGGTAGAAGGGGCAGTTGTCTTCAGGGAAGTAGAGCCAGCACTTGTCACCAATGCGCTCCGGCCTCGCGCCACGCAGACCGACGCCAATGACATGCGTGGTAGAGTAGTAGAGGCCCTTGGAAAGGCTGATGAGCTCCTGGTTGCCCATCTTCTCAACAAGTGAGTCAACAGCCATTGTGGAAATGAGCTTGTTGTACTTGATGGTGGTGCCATCGCTGAGGGTGACGACCTTGCCCTCGGCGTCGACCTTCTCGACCTCACCCTTCTTGCCGTAGCGCTTCTTGTCCTCTGGGAGGGTGTCGGAAACGGCAATCCAGATGCCACCAGTGCCGTCGCGGGCGGGGAAGCGGAAGGTCGCGTTGGGACCCCAGTTGCCAGCAATCTTGTTCAGGACAACGTTCTTGGTCACAAGCTTCAGGTTGGGCGCAGCGACACGCTCGCCGAGCCAGGCGCATTGCATCTTGGGTTTTGTCAGATACACCGATAGAGCCTAGAAGAGCTGTGGTTGGGTCATACCTTGGTGGTGGGAACAGCCCACACCTTGTAGTTGTAAGGACGCATGAAGATGTTGGCAATACCCTCTCCAATGTTGCGAACGATCCACTCGTCAAAGTCCTTGGGCTTGGTGTTGGAGACACGAGCCTCGAGGGCGGCGTCAATGAGACCGTCCATGCACAGAACCTGGTCTTCCTTGGGAAGCATGGAGATGTTGTTCTGGAAGGGGTAAGGGACCCAGAGGCCCTTGTAGCGGACGTAGGAGATGCGCTGGTGGGTGTACCAGTCATCCTCCTTGGGGAGAGCCTCGTCAATGCAGTCGTCGAAGTACTTGTAGTGGGAGAAAATGACGTGACCGCCGACATCGTAGAGCTGTGGTCCAGCACGAGTTAGTGTATAGCTCAACGTGTTCGTGTTGGTGCAAGGCGCGCGGGGCGAGGGCAGGATCAACTTACGAAGCCTTCAGGTGTGACATCGGTGGACGCAAGACCACCGGCCTTCTCGTTGGCGTCGAGGATAAGCCATGAGGGACCGTTCTGCCGGCACTGGTCAGTATTTTCTTTCCGGACCGTTCTCACGATCGAGGACTCTGGCGGTGAGGACAAACCAGCTGATTGAGACGCTTGGCGGCTCCCAGACCGGTCGGGCCAGCACCGATGACGAGGACGTCAACATTACTATCGTAAAATATATCTTGTCAGCAGCCAGACTTGTCGATAGCTTTGCACAGACCGACGAGAGGGTGCGAGGCACTGGAAAGGGGACACTCACATGTCGGCCATGGTGGGGAAGATGTCCTTTTGCTTTGGGAAGGTGGGGGAGATGGAGTGGCGGTATGCTTCACGACTATGGACGTGTGTGAAGGCGGAGACAGGATTCAAGCAGCAGACAGAGCTGTGAGAAGAAAGGACGTGAGGTTCTGCGAGAGGCGAGAGGACCAGCAAAAGAGAATCGAACTGAGGGGCGTATTGGCTCGTTGCCGTAGATATTGCAGTGGGCTTTAGGCTGGGAGAAGGGAAAAGGAGGTGCCCTGCGCAGCCAGTGCAGCCCGCTCTGCGGCAACAGAAGGAGGGGCCCAGATTTTATTTTCTGCAGGGGTCATGAGAGGCCGGGGGTCGTGGTGGGCGGGCAAGGACGCCGGGGCCAGACGCCAGACGCCAGGAGAAGTAGTTGCCAGCCCTTCCCAGGTGATGATGCGGGTACGGTGAACTGATACTGGTATACAAGTACCTACCTGCCTACCTATCACCTATTACCTATGTGAGCCCCACTACTACCACCACGACCGACCGTGACCACCACATAGACTACTGCCACCGGCCGGGTTTCTCGTCCACCCCCTCCCCCCGCCGCCTCCTGCGCGCTGCTCTGTAACTGCTATCCTCTACAACTTTTGGGCCCTCTTCTGGTCATACCTGGACGAGTCACCCAATTCCTACGGTCGCGTCACGCATCACGACTGTCTACCTTGTGGGGGTAGCACACATATCAGCCAGATCCTCTGGCCGCCGATGGGGCCTTGCTGTGCAGCGGACGCAAGTAACCTTCGTTGCTGTGGCTTCTACAGAGGCAAAGAAGGTAACGATGAAACAAGTTGCAAGAGCCAAGCATTGAAAACCATCCCAAGAGAAAGCGGATACAATGGACCAATGCAGTGCCTGGCCTTTCCCTGCAACGAGCACCTAGCTTGAGCAACGGTCCAGCACAGCATACTAAGTACGCCAAGTTTGGGTGGGACGAGGATCCGTGCGCTGTCGACGATCCGCGGCTCACGCCATGCCCACCTTGCACATACTGATAGACGGCTTGTTGTGGGGATGGTAATAACTGCTGTACCTTTCCCACTGCTACGGTACACGGCCACCTACCGCATCAACTCTTGCCATCGATTCACCGCTCACAAGGATCTGCGGCTGACGCTTGAACAGCCTCCCTGGGGTACTGTGCTGTCGCGCGCTTGCCACAGCCAGACAATGGGCACTCGAGTCAGATTCCACACTCTGATGCCGCTCTCGCCGGAGGTTGATCGGCACTGTTTGACCGCTTCTTGGTCAAAGGAGACCGTGGCAGGCTCGACGGGCATCAAAGATCGCGCCTAGTAGGTCAAATTCGGCCCTCGCCCTGTCTGGCAGTTGGTCGCCTGAGATGGCTTTACCTATGCATGCAACCCACTAGCCCCCCATTTCGCTGGACAAGAACGAGGAAACAATCTCATCAAACGTAGCTCGGTCCATCGACGCCTCTTTTCAGCCAACCTCTTCGTTTTGTGTCGATGGTTCCCGGCCTGCCACGAGTCTGATACCAAACCCTGCTAGGCGCAATCTCATGGAAATTGATGTCAATTACCCACGCCCAGGCCTCATCCGCCGCCACTACATGTCACCGTGGCACGACTTCGGCTTCGACGCCCCTGGCACGCAGCGTTATTCACGCTGCGCGCCTCATTTGTCTGAATTCGAGAAAGGTCTGCCCAAAGGAGACGGTCACTGCGAGGACCAGCACCAGCTGGTGCTCAAATCAAGCCAATACAAGCCCAAGATTCGCCCACGGGTATCTCGATAGGCACCCATATTCTTAACACCAGTGCCGAATGCGGTCGCAGGGTCTGTCTGGCCAGGGGCATTCAAACATGCTCTTCGTCTCTCTGACGACATACCCTCACCGTATTGGAAATTACCACCTCCTCCACGGGATAATGATGCCAGTTCAGCCGTCTCCCACCACCCGCCCTGTCGAGACAATCTGCTTCATCTCATCAGTCAGCGGTTGCAATCAATCGCCATCGCACGCTAGGGAGGATGGCAGTGCAATCGATCTTCCCCCCTGATCTTCGAGCATTCATCATACATCACCATCCGCCCCAGGGCTGGTGTGCTTGGGTCATGCCAGAATGCTTTGCAGATTGTGAGGATGACTCGTGAATCCCGACACCGTCTTCCTGATCCATCCACAACCTTGGAACATGTCGATGATCCGA